GGGATGGGTTAGCCTGGTGATGGGTATTAAAGAGGGCACGTTCTGCATGGAGCACTGGGTGTTATGCACAAACAATGAATCATGAAACACTACATCAAAAACTAATGATGTAATGTATGGTGATTAACATAACAATAAAAATTTTTTTTTAAATCTTCTGCACAGTGAAGGAAACAATCAAAGAACTAAAAGGCAACCTATGGAATGGGAGAACATATTTGCAAATGACATATCTGAAAAAGGGTTAGTATTGAAACTCTATAAAGAACTTACCAAATTCAACACCCAAAAAAACAAATAATCCAGTTAAGAAATGGGCAGAAGACATGAATAGATACTTTTCCAAAGAAGACATCCAGATGGCTAACAGACACATGAAAAGATGCTGCACATCACTCATCATCAGGGAAATACAAATCAAAATCACAATGAGATACCACCTCACACCTGTCAGAACAGGTAAAATTAACAACACAAGAAACAACAGGTATTGGTAAGGATGTGGAGAAAGGGGGAACCTCTTGCACTGTTGGTGCAAACTGGTATGGTGACTCTGGAGACTAGCTTGGAGGTTCCTCAAAAAGTTAAAAATAGAACAACCCTATGATCCAGCAATTGCACTACTAGGTATTTACCCAAAGGATACAAAAATACAGATTTGAAGGTGTACATGCACCCAGAAGTTTATAGCAGCATTATCAACAATAGCCAAACTATGGAAAGAGCCCAAATGTCCATCGACTGATGAATGGATAAAGAAGATGTGGTATATATAATATTACTCAGCCATCAAAAAGAATGAAATCTTGCCATTTGCAATGATGTGGATGGAGCTAGAGTGTATTATGCTAGTTGAAATAAGTCAGTCAGAGAAAGACAAATACCATAGATCTCACTCATATATGGAATTTAAGAAAGAAAACAGGTGAACACATGGGAAGAGGAAAAAGAAAAAAAGGAGAGAGGGAAACAAGTCATGAGACTTTCAACAATAGAGAACGAACAGGGTTGATGGAGGGAGGTGCTGGAGGGTGGGTGAGATGAGCTAGATGGGTGATGGATATTAAGGAGGGCACTTGCGATGAGCACTGGTATTGTATGTAAGGGATGAAACACTGAATTCTACTCCAGAAACCAACAGTGCACTCTATATTAACTAAAATTTAAATTTTAAAAAAATGAGGGGAAAAAAAAGAATGTATTGATAGGAAGATCCAGGTACAGCTGGGCCTTTTCCATGTTGTCGTCCCTTTCTGAGATGGCTGTTAGCTCTCCTTTCCACCTACTCATAGTCTTGCCACCCTCCAAAGCCCAATTCAAATTTCAGCTCCTCCAGGAACCTTTCTGCACCCACCCCACACACGAGCTCAGCCTGTGTTGAGCTCTATTGTTTCCTATAGGAATAGAGGAATGGAATGTGCAGGGGAGGAGGATGCCACCTCCTAATCAGCACTATTATTGGTTGAGCCTGTTCTATTGGCCAGATGCTGTCTTCCCTCTTATGATTATATCAGAACCACCCAGATAAACTAGGATAATCTCCCCACCTCAAGGTCCTTAACTTAATCACATCTGCAAAGTCCTTTTTGCTGGATAAGCTAACACATTCACAGTTTCTGGAGGTGAGGACATGGATATCTTTGGAGAGCCTTTATTCAGTCTACCACACTGGGCTTAGCCTTGGGACTTCATTCATTAAAGGATCAAGGAGCCCTGTTGATGTCTGAGCCCATGAGAGATACTCTCTTCTGGATATCATATGGGGTACCAATGAACTCTGAAGGTGAAAAATGTCAATGTCTGATCACTGTCATCAACAAGCAACATTTAGGCACAGACTTCACTAAACCCAATTCCTGTTGCCAGCAACTGACATTCACAAAGGTACAAGCAGGCAAAATTTATGTTCAAACCAGTCAGCAACACTGTCTCAAAATTATTTCCAAATGAGATCATGTCAGGACAGACACCTTGTAGTGGCTAGCGCATAGTCAATGCTCAATAAAAGCCAGGAGTTTGAAGGATTTCTCATAATCTAATCAATGAGTTGAGACTTCAGATATGATTCCCTTGGCTGTGTTTTGCCAGGATGCCAGGCTATATCCAGCTACGCCACAAGAGTCAAGCATGTCAATATTCCGGGCTACTTAAAAATCATGAGAGACTCTGATAATAGGCCACTGAGCAGTATGGATCTTGATATCATCAGCTCCATGGACAAGAATAATCCGCTAACATGCTGGGGCTTAGCACTGAACCGTAAGAGGAAGTTGCTACTGCATTTCCTCTCTCCCCTCCCAGCTGTGTCTTATAAATTGTTGTTGCTTTAACCACAAGTTGTCCAGAGAAACGTCAACTCTCCTCCCACAGGATTATGATCCTCCCAACTGTGCACCAGAGACTCGGGACTATAATGGCATAGATGTCACCAAAAGAAAAGAAGGAAGGAACCAATTTTTTGGCAGATACAGAACTGAGTCTTTGTGAAGAAGCTGAAGGCCTTTCTGGATCAATAATAACATTTTCTGGTAAGGAAAAAATGCATGTGGTAATATGGAAGTGCTTCTAGTAAATGAGAAGTTGTGAGAGTGTGTTTAAATGTAGAGAACAGAGCACTAAGAGTCCCATCGTCTTGCCATAACTGGATAACTGCTGATTCAACCCTGGATAAATGTCCCTTTGACAGGAAAATGGACTGTTCAACTTTACGAAGGTTGATAGAAATACAGCAAAAATCTGTGATAGCATTTCCTTGCATTGGTTTTGGAGACAACAAATGCAGCCTGGAATTTGTGTTGCTTGCTCCATGAATGGCTTTTGTTAATTATTTACCTCTCACCACCTCAGTCACTTTATAGGTAAAACAATATGCCTGGGGGCACCTGGGTGGCTCAGTCTGTTAAGCACCTGGACTCTTGAATTCGGCTCAGGTCACAATCTCGGGGTTATGATCTCAGGATTGTGAGATCAAGCCCAACATCGGGCTTGTCAGCCTAGCCTGGGGCCCGCTTAGGATTCTCTCTCTCTTCCCTCTGCCCCCCCCATCCCACTCCACTCATGCTCTTTTGCTCTCTCTTTAAAAAAATTTAAAAATAAAAATAAAACAAAATGCCTGCCTCCGAAGGGTGTTGAGATAATTAAACAAGACATTGCATAAAAAACACAGTGCTGAGTGCACACCAATTGCTCAAACATCTTTCCACTGGTAAAGTTTCCCTTAACGCACTGGAAATCACTAAGACTTTAGAAATCACCTCCTTAAATTCTCTCACTTTTACAGGTATCTTCGGGAAATGTTTTGTTAAACATGTGTATACACAAATTTCTATTTAGACAACATCTTGACCAAAAAGAGTCAGTGATTCTCAGATTTGACCCTGGAATCATAGGAACTTCCCACAGGATCCAAAGTCAGGAAATGGCTGTGTTCAATGCAAAATGGCAGATTTTCAGAGTTTCATGGTCTCCCTAAAGGCCTATCTGTACAAATTTACCCAGAAAATCAATAGTAGACCAAAGAGATAGAAGAAATGTTACTGGCAAAAAATTTCACAGTTTAATTGAAAAATCCTACTCTGTGATATCTTGATTAGTATTTTATTAGTAATGATTGTGTTTACATATGTAAGACCTATTTCACTGATTCTGCACATAATGCAGATAATGCTAAAGTGTATATTCAGATCAGATCTATTTTATGATATTTTGTTTTAGATTTATTGGCATGTTAATTTGATGATATGGCAAATTTATCTATGGAGGTATGGGAAATCAGAACAACTCATGAAAAATCATTTTTTCAGTTTGGAGGAGAAGATGAAGGAGATTTGCGTTAAAAACTATCTGCTCTATTATCTGTGCTATTCTCCTTAGGAAGCAAGAATGTTTCAGGTGTCCCATGTTTTGATAATCTTTCCAATTGATCATTAAACTGGGACCAAGAAAGGTCAAAATGATGGAAGTGAAGACTAGAATGCTTCAGACTGTTGGGGGCTGAGTTCAACCCCAAGAGCCAGGAGCACAGTGACAGGACATTAAAAGAGGGAAAAATAAGCCACCAAGATATTGGTGGCTCCAATCCAATAGCTTTTCTAGTTTCTTTGGATATCAAACAGTGAAAGCCTTCTGCCATAAACAGTTGTGAAGTTTGATTTTTAATGTGCAACGTTTACGGAGTCCTAGCTACCCACCAGGCACTGTGGTAAGGTGCTCACTTAAACCCCACAATTAACCAATGAAGAAGGTACTACCATTACTCTCACTGCACAGATGAAATGGAACTTGGAGATATTAAGCAACTTGGCAAAGGGCATCCAGAGAGGCAAGTGTGGATGCAAGTATGTGTGTTGCATATGTGCATACACGCATGTGCGCACGTGTGTGTGGGGGTGGGTGGGTGGGTGTATGTGTGTGTGTTTAGGAGAGAAGTTGGGTCTCACTTTCAGCAAAATGCTAAATCATAAGCATGGCCCCCACTACTTTCCCTCTCCCCACCCTTCTCTCCTCTTGCTACCTCCACCACACTTGCCCAGGTGGTCCCTCTTCTGTCTTCCTTGACATAATTGGGAATTTAATACCAATGGTATGGCCAGAAATAGCTCTTCCTGGGCTACGGTAAATTGCATTTGAACCAAATGGGCCTCTTGCTTCTCCAGACGTCACTCTGAGCAGTAAAGAAGGATTGACAACAACAATGAGGGGATGGTACACCCTGCACCCTTTGTTCTGCTGTTTATGTTATCACCATGCGGCAGACTCAGGCACCCTTTGCACCTGCGGAGTTTTCCATCCCATACAAGGCAACTAAGTAGGACCGGAAGGCAAAAAGATAAGGGTATTCATCTTCAGCAAAAAACCCTTACTGAAGAAGGCAACACAAAGGAGGCTGAATAGCAGAGAGGTTGAGTACGCAAGCTCTGAGGTCCAGGCCATAAAGGTGGAAACCTGGCCTCTGCCACTATGAGATGGATGACCTTGGTCAAGTTACTTAAGTCTACAGAGGTCTCAGTTTTCCCATCTGTAAAAGAGAGATAATAATGGCACCAACCTCACAAGCTCGTCATGAATGCTAAATGATATCAGGAATGCAGAATGCCTAGTCTACAGCAAGCACTGAAAAACACTGGCTTCTGTTATTGAAGACAGCTCTGTAAGTCATGTTAAGTAATAAGAATGAAATACACAGGCTCTACCCACACCATCTAGGTAGGTTAGGGAGACAAGGCACATATATTGAAAACAATAATATAAGATAGAAAACTGTCGCGTGAAGAATACTGGTGCATATTATGGAAATTCAGAGGAAGAAATAACAGTATTATTTTTAAAAAATGTTAAATTACAGATGGCAGTAGGAAGGTGACTTTACCAATGTCACAAAGCTAGTTTTGAAAGAGTCCAGAGTAAAGTCCAGGTCTCCTGATTCATGAAGTAAAACTATTTCATGAACCTATGCCACCAGGGTACTAATGAAAATAATCTTAACAAAAGCATTAGTTAACACTTTGAAGGTACTGTCTACATCCTGGGCATTTTACACACATTATCTTATTAAATCCTCATAATAACCCTAGGAGACAGGTATTATATTCCTCCCCCATTTTACAGATGAGAAAATTGAGGTGCATGAAGGGTAAGTGATTTCTTAATCACTTAAAGTTGCTGAGCCAGGACTTAAGTCAAGGTTCCTAACCAATTATAATGAAGAACTGAGGGGGAAAGGAAGGCAGGGAAGCCAGAAGGAAGGGGGATGACAGACTAAATCCTAGAGCTAGAAATGGACATTCAAGAAAAGTGAGTGGGCTGCTTTTACTGGAAGAGGAAATTCAAGGAGAGGAGTTAGAAAATACAGTAGAATCGAGTATGAAGCAGACAGAAGCAGGGCCTGAATGTCCATTGTGGCAGCAAATATTCTGTTTGTCTATTGTTTGGTTGGGGGAGAGGGTAGGGACAGAAGATGGGAGCTTGACAATTCTATAGTCGTTAGTTTTGTTTTGTTTTGTTTTTAAGAATAATCTGATCATAGAATGAAGAGGGAGAGGCCAGTGGCAGGGAGACTGGTGAGGGCTGACTGCCACAGCTCTGAAGAAGAATGGGTCTTTTCCGGGTGTTCCCCAACTTCCTGGGGGGGCGGCACACAGCCACAATCCACTTCCCAATCTCACCACAGAGCATCCAAAGAAACTAACGCTCTCCACTCATCTCTCCCCACAGGCTGCAGAACTTCCACATCCATATCAGTTGACAAAGCCCTTTGGGAATCATGATGATTTTTTTCCGATACCAGACATTCAGATTCATTTGGCTTGCCAAGCTAACTGGCCGGTACCTTCACAAAGATCATCAGCTTTGGGCGCCTCTGACTCTTGCTGACTTTGACGCCATAAATCGCTGTGAGAAGTCACTGCCTAAGAACTTTAACTTTGCTGGGGATGTGCTGGACCAGTGGTCCCAAAAGGAGAAGGTATGACATGACAGGCTTCTATTAGATGCTTGGTATCAACGTATATCTCAGGCTTCCATTTCCTTGTTCCGTGGTCCATTTACCACTCTTAATTCAGTTCTTCCATCCTTCTCAGTTTCCTTTGTTTGTTTTCCTCTTGCCCTCTGCTCTCCCCAGGCAAGATCTTTAATCCACAACTCCACATGCTGTCTTTCTCTGGATCCTCCTCAGTCCCCCTTATGGTTATTACTTACAGAGTCCTGCCTCTTTTTCTTCATTTTCTCCAAGTCCCACACAGCAGCTCTTTGTTCTCCATTCATCGGTTTGGGCTGGTCACAGGCTTATCCAAAAAGCAGTAATTTGAGCTTTGGTCTGTTTTTTTAATTTATTCATTTTTAAAATTTTTTTTATTATGTTCAGTTAGCCACTGTATAGTACATCATTAGTTTTTGATGTAATGTTCAATGATTCATTAGTTGCGTATAACACCCAGTGCTCATCACAACATGTGCTCTCCTTAATACCCATCACCCTGTTACCCCATCCCTGCACCCTCCTCCCCTCTGAAACCTTCAGTTTGTTTCCCAGGGTCCATAGTCTCTCATGGTTTGTCTCCCTTTCTGATTTCTCCCCCTTCAGATTTCCCTCCCTTCCTCTACGGTCTTCCGTGCTATTGTTTATGTTCCACATATGACTGAAATGATATGATAATTGTCTTTCTCTGCTTGACTTACTTCACTAAGCGTAATCCCCTCCAGTTCCATCCATGTCGATGCAAATGGTGGGGATTCATCCTTTCTGATGGCTGAATAATATTCCATTGTATATATGTACCACATCTTGTTTAACCATTCATCTGTTGAAAGGCATCTCTGCTCCTTCCACAGTTTGGCTATTGTGAACATTGCTACTATTTTAAAATAATAGTCATCACTGGAGTGATTAGGAGAGAATCCAACACTGAAAAGAATAAAGCAAAAAGCCTTGAGTGTTTGCAGTGTAGCCTCAGGTCAAATCCCTACTTACTGACCCCACCCCATGCCAGGCACTGAGCTAGATACTTACCTATCAGTGCTTACCAAAATTCACTGCAAGGACTTGTGCCTCAGAAGATATACAGGGTTTCAAATAATGTTGAATCAATCTTTCCTATTAAACTGAGAGGATAGTCTTTAAATCCATTTACATCTTTAACAGCTCTCTTATACTTGCTAAACTCTCTTTCGAACAAAAGAGCAGGTAGAAGTTGAAAATCTCTGGGCGTATTTTGTTTTTAATATATTTATTTTACAGTAACCTATTTTTAACAAACGGTACTGGTTCTCCAATTATGGTGACGAGTAAATACATTTTCCTTCTTAAGTAAATATGTACAAGAAAAGTGAGTGAATGTAAAGAAAAATACAAAGAACAATAACACAGGTGTGGGGAGGAGGTGAGGGGATGGGTTAGCCCGGCGATGGGTGTTAAGGAGGGCATGTATTGAATGGAGCACTGGGTGTGTTATATGCTAACAATGAATCATGGAACACTACATCAAAACCTAATGATGTATGGTGCCCAACATAACATAATAAAATAAAATAAAATAAAATAAAGAATGAAAAGATAAGCCACAGACTTGGAAACCATATTTGTAGAACAGATATCAGATAAGGGACTTATATCCAGACTGACTGTATCCTTAAGTCTCAAAATTCATTAATAAGAAAATAACCCAATACATGAGCAAAAGAGTTGAATCACCACTTCATTAGGGCACATGTAAAGATGCTCAACATCAGCGGTCATTAGGGAAATGCAAATTAAAGTCACAATTATACTACTGCATACTTATTAAAATGCTAAAAAGGGTGACCATGTCAAGTGTTAGCAACTGTAACTATTTCACTGTTGGTGCAAATGTAAAATGGTACAGCCACTTTAGAAAACAGTTTGGCACTTAAAATAAAAAAGTTCAACCCACACACACACACACAAAAAAAGGAACAATAGCACAGGTGTAGACAGATCTGGCAAAAACAGTGATACTCCAATGACTAAAGATTGAGAAATACTGACCTATATTATTTCATCAAATCCCTATCACCAACCTGGGGGGTTGCAGATAAGGAAATTAACCTCAGAGAAGTTAAGCTCCTTATCCAAGGTCACCAGTCCCAAGGGTACAGGAAACAGCCCCTGATCTTAGGGGGCTTATACTCATAGGGCAGGGCCTATGATACAGTGTAATGGAGTCATCTGGCATTTGAGCACATTGCTGCAGAAAGACAGAAAAGTCAGAGAGGAGAAAAAGAGGAGCTGAGGAAACCTTCACAGAGGAAGTAAAATGGAAATTGAGTTTTGAAATAGTTTCCAACCAGGAAAGGTAAAAGGAGCATTCCAGATATTCCAGATAGGGGAAGAAAGGAGGAGTAAATTTTTTTCCCAGGTAACACATAAAGCAAAGAGGTTTTGCAGCATAGACAGTGTACTCTGTAAAATCATATGAGAAGTTTCCTCCAGAAATCAATCCCTTGATGAACCTCCCCCAAAGGCCCCACCATCTTGTTCTTTGTTACCTATGAAACCCATACTTCAGCCTTTTGGGTAAAAAAAAAAAAAAAAAAAAAATTATGTTAAGTTCCTAATCAACCTTAGTACAAAAATTGGGGTTATTTGGATGGAACAGAATCTAACTTAATCAGGAAAAAACATTTATTGGACATGGGAGTGCTCACAAAACTGGGTTGCAAACTGGAAAGTTAGTCTCAGCAAGACCAGGACAGCTTCCCGGGGATATGTAAGCACCAAAGGCCCATACGCAGGTTTTTTTCCAACCATATTCTATCTTTTGGTTCTTCTCAGAAAACTCAAAATCCGGGAAAGAAGGACTCAGTCAACATGGGTCACATGCCACCCACTGCTGGGTGGACAATTACCCTGATGGGTTGTCTCACCTAGGCTGTATTCAGTAGGAGAGGAGTAGTTCCACCAAAGACAAACTGGGGTGCTATTACCAGAGTCCACCAGCATGGGTGCTGAGGGCAAGTAATGGCAGATGTGTCCCATCTATTTGGTAGACCAGTCATGTAAGCTTTCTTTCTTTCCCATGTGCCCATGGCCAGACAGGAGAGAGACCAGCCAACCCAGCCCTGTGGTGGGTGAATGGCAAAGGGGACGAAGTGAAATGGAGCTTTGAAGAACTGGGCTCCTTGTCCCGAAAGGCTGCCAATGTGCTCACCAAGCCCTGCGGCCTAAAGAGAGGAGACCGAGTGGCCGTGATCCTGCCCCGTATCCCAGAGTGGTGGCTTGTAAATGTGGCTTGTATGCGAACAGGTCAGTGCCAATATTTAACATTTCTTTTTAAAAAAAAGATTTATTTATTCATTTATTCATTTTATTCACATGCAAGTGTGCATGTGTAGGCAGGGGGAGGGGAGGGAGAGGGAGAGAGAATCTCAAGCAGACCCCACACTGAGCACAGAGCCAGACTTGGGGCTCCACCTCACCACCCTGAGCTCATGACCTGAGCAGAAACCAAGGGTCAGATGCTCAACCGACTGTGCCACCGGGTGCCCCAATACTTAACATTTCTAAATCATGCAGAAACAGAGAGAATGAAATTTGAGGTTTTTCTGAATTGTTACGCTTACAAAGAACAGAAAAATAAGAGTTGAGATAAAGAACAACCATCTCTCAATATGGTAAGACAAGGCAGAATAGCGGAATAATAATAACTATTATTATCAAGAGGTGGGTATTGCAAAAAAAAAAGAGGTTTGCAAGAGAGGAAACTGAGGTTCAGAGATGTTAAGAACTTGTCCGAAGTCACACAGCTAGAAAGCTATGCAGTTGGGATATATTTATTTATTTTTAAAGATTTTTTAATTTATTTTTTGAGAGAGAGGGGAGAGGGGGCAGAGGCAGAGGGAGAGAGAGATCTCAGCATGGAGCCCGATGGGGGGCTTGATCCCACAACTGTGAGATCAGGATCTGAGCTGAAATCAAGAGTCAGACGCTTGACCAACTGAGCTACCCAGGCGCTCCGCAATTGGGATTTAAACACAAAGCTCTATCAAAGCAAATGTGGATAATAATGCCTCTTGGCAGAGCTGGTTATGAATATATATAGATGATCTTGAATATATTTGGATTCTCCCTGATATGAAAATACTAAAGGAAGAAAAAGCATTTTAGAATGTAAGGACTTAGGGGTGCCTGGGTGGCTCAGTCATTAAGCATCTGCCTTCAGCTCAGGTCATGATCCCAGGGTCCTGGGATCAAGCCCCGCATCGGGCTCCCTGCTCCCCAGGAAGCCTGCTTCTCCCACTCCCCCTGCTTGTCCTCCCTCTCTCACTGTGTCTCTCTCTGTCAAATAAATAAATAAAATCTTTAAAAAAAATTTAAAAAATTAAAAAAAAAAGAATGTAAGGACTTTTAAGAATATGACTGTGGATCCCAGTTGGAAAACCTCTGCCTCTTTCTAGGCAAAAAGATTAATGTATTCAATGACACATTTTCTACCAAAGTAGTAATTTATAATGTACCCCAAATAAAAATTCCACAGTATTGTTTTCCCCTCTAGGACAGAGGTTGGCAAAAACCATGGCCTATGGGTTGGCCACTTATTTTCATAAATAAAGTTTTAAAGTTTTAGTGGGATACAGTCATGCTTGCTCATTTACATATTGTCTATGGCTCTTTTTACTCCACAACAGCAGAATTATTAATTGAGACAGAGATGGAATGGCCCACAAAGCCTAAGATATTTACTATCTGGCCCTTTACTGAAAAAGTTTGCCAATTCCTACCCCAGAGCATGATATAAATGTTTATAAATCGATTAAAAATAAATAAGAATACCAAAGGAAAAACTACTGTAGAGAACACAAAGATGTTTGTTACAGTATCATTAATAAGAGAAAAAAATTGGAAACAACTATATAGAAATGATTAAATAAATCACGACTTAGCTAACAAAGTTTAGTAGAGGTATATTCACTGCTGGTTGAAATTATGATACCTCAACCTGATGGGATATCATTTAAAAGACCAATTATAAGGATTTCATAATGGTGTTGAAAAATGTTCTTACTGCCAAAATTAAATTTTTAAAAAAGCAATAAATAAAATTCTTTTTGCATTCAGTATAAAAAGAAACTTGGAAATGTGAAACCAATTGTGGGTTGAAAGGAGATTAAAAGTGGTTTGTCATTAAAAATGTACTCAATATTACTTAACATAATCTAAGCAATTTGGGAAATGCCAAGATTAAAAATGAACCCACAAGCTGAATGGTCAAAACATTCAGTTAATTAAATGTTAAGCAAGCAGCTGAGGATTGTTTTCTAATTCAGAGTTATTAAATCTTCTGAGTGAATACTGAGATGTTTTGTATTGTACCATGTGGCAAAATACTTTGCTTTTGCTGTAAAGTGTATACAGTCTGAAATCCACCAGACGAGAACTTTTCCTTAACCCCCACTCTATCCACTGAACACATTCATGTCACAAATCTACCAAGAGTACTAATAATTTCTGACCCATTAAGAACAAGTGTTTGTGGGATGTCTGGGTGGTTCAGTCGGATAAGCATCTGCCTTCGGCTCAGGTCATGATCCCAGGGGCCTGGGATCAAGTTCCGCATCCGCTGCTCAAGCCTGCTTCTCCCTTTTGCCTACCGCTCCCCCTACTTGTGCTCTCTCTCTCTGACAAATAAATAAAGTAATAATCTTTAAAAAAAAAAAAAAAGAGCAAGTGTTTGCAAAATAAATAATATTTTTATATAGAGTGTACTATTTGAGATCCAGTTAGGTATTTTCTTAATTAACTTCTTTAATGTCATATATATATTCATTTTACCAAGAGGTGATGACATGTGAGAGGTTTTAAGATATATTCAATGAGTATAGTCCCCTTTCTAGGAATTCAAATCCACATCTCCCCATTTCACTGACTAGGAAACTCACCAAGAAATGAGCACGGGTCTTGGGAGTCTAGGAAATGTATCTCTGAATCCTGGTTCTGCCCCTTAGTGACTTTGTGACCCTTGGGCTTGTTGTCATCTATATACTGGGGTTGATTTTGAGTGAGATAGCAGACACATAATAAGTGCTCAATAAATGGTAGTGGCTATTTGTAATGCCTTACATACAGTTCTCTTCCCTTCACTGATTCACTTTAGAAAGAGCAAACCACCTTCCCTCTATCTTTCATCTAATTCTCCCATATATGCTCTTCTCATAAGGAACTGGTATTGTAAAATCAGGCCCATCGCAGGCCAGTGTTTAGAATGGAGTGAAAAGTGGGATAAACTAAGCATCACCAAAGGAGTGTAGGCAAACTTTGACGATTCCAGACCACTGGGAAGACCCAGGTTTGAGGGCTGACTCTGCCACTCATTGGCTATGACTCAATCTCATATTCCAACAGCATGGACCTACATGGCTGCTTAGGACAGTGGCCTCCAGGCTCTTCTGATCACATAATCTATCAATAAAGATATTTGGGATACACATCCTCCCATCTGGATATAATTATTTTTATTGTTCTTCTGCACAATATAGCATGCGTATTATAAAATATACATAAAATGAGATTAAAACATAAAGAATACTATTATCTCAAAATTTTTTTTAATTTTTTTTAGGATTTTATTTATTCATTTGAGACACAGAGATACAGAGAGAGAGAGAGAGAAAGCATGAGCAGGGAGAGAGGCAGAGGGAGAGGGAGAAGCAGGCTCCTCGCTGAGCCAGGAGCCCAATGTGGGGCTCGATCCCAGGACCCTGGGATCATGGCCTGAACCAAAGAGATGCTTAACCATCTGAGCCACCCAGGTGCCCCTCAAAATTTTTTTAAATTCTAATTTTTCTTCTCATCTTCAGTGGATTACCTTGCAGGACTCACTTTGGAGACCATTCCTTCAGAAGATTGAGTAAGATAATGTTCCTGAAAATTTCTAATGAGCTGTAAAATGTTATTTAAGTACTACATAATGATGATTCAAATGTTCCACAAAAATGTTACGTAATAATAGCCCACCATTATAATGCCTACTATATGCCAGACACTTACTATTATTTTCCCCATTTTACAGATAAGGAAAGGAAGGCACAGAGAGATCATGTAACATGCTCAAGGTCACAAAGCTAGTAAGTCACAAGGACAGAATTAGACCCAAGGACTATCAGACTCTGAAGCCACTGCTCTAAGGATCTCCCAGTGACCAGGGTCCTGTGGGATGTCCGTGGGGACCAAGACAGGAGTAGCTAAAGGCTGTGTTCCCCACCCAAGCACAAAGCCTGTTTCCATAGTCCATAATCTTACCAAAGGGACAAGAGTTCTGTTTCAGCTCAGGGCTCTCTCTTTCCCAGGGCTGGTCTTCATGCCAGGAACAACCCAGCTGAGAGCAAAAGACATTCTCTATCGGCTGCAAGCATCCAAGGCGAAGTGTATTGTGGCCAGTGAGGAGGTGGTCCCAGCCGTGGAGTCCATTGTGTCAGAATGTCCCGACTTGAAGACCAAACTCCTGGTGTCTCCATGCAGCCAGAATGGGTGGCTCAGCTTCCAGGAATTATTTCAGTGAGTATTTTCTCCCGCCTGATCTGCAGTACCAGCGATAACATCAATTGCAACTATATCTCGGAGTCTTCTTGCCTCCAAGCACTTAGCAATACTGTCAGTTGATCCAGACTCCTTCCCATAAAAGAATCACCTAAGGGGAGCCTGGGTGGCTCAGTTGGTTAAGCGACTGCCTTCGGCTCAGGTCATGATCCCAGGGTCCTGGGATCGAGCCCCGCATCGGGCTTCCTGCTCGGCGGGAAGCCTGCTTCTCCCTCTCCCACTCCACCTGCTTCTGTTCCCCCTCTCTCTGTCAATTAAATAAATAAAATCTTTAAAAAAAAAAAAAAAGAATCACCTAATAGAAGATTTGAGTTGGAGGATGAAGGAAGGAGTCAAGGCTGATCTGCTTTTTAACATGGGTGACTGAATGGGTGGGTAGTATCAGCTGGAGAAAGATTTTAAAGTTGGACATATTAAGATTGAGGGATCTGTGAACATCCAAATGTCTAGCAGGTGGTAGATACATGAGTCTCAGACTCAAGGACTTAAGATACAAATCTGGAAGTCATCAACATATAAACAGTTCTGAAAAATCCAGAAATATAAAACTCAGGTGTCCAAAGAAAGAGAGTCAGTCAGACAATGACATCACTAATTGAAAATCTCCTTATCACCCACAGATTGTAATGTGTCCTCTTTTGGTAAAAGAAAAAAGAAATTTAAAATCTTACATTAAAGGTTTCCACACTGGATTGAGAAGCATTAAATAGTGGTTTTTTTCCCCACAGTATTAGATATTGTGAAGAAATCCCTCTTTGTCCAGCCCCCACACACCAACTTCACCATATATACATATATACAAACACACACGGGCACACACACACACACACACACACACACATCCCCTGAACATAATTTGATGCTCTTTATTGACTGCTGAATTATAGCATATCTTTAAAAATAATTATTGAGGGGTACCTGGCTGGCTCAGTTGATAAAGCATGTGATTCTCCCAGTCACCCATGTTAGAAAGCCCATCAGCCTTGCCTCCCTCCTTCATCCTCCAAGTCCAATCAATCTCCAAGTCCTACTTGTTCTTTACTTTGCCTCCTGCCCTCCATCCCATTCACCAGGGCACAGATTCAGACCCACATCTTCTCCCACCTGGATTAGTCCCCAGGGTGGTCACTCTAATTTGGTTCTTCTCAAATTCGGCATATGCTGAAAAAAATCAATATAACTGAATGATCTTTTCTTTTTATCATATTAGTATTTCATGAAACAATGTTTGACAATATAGTTGTATGTTTATATAATTAATCCTCATTGCTTTACCATTTTAATGACAATCTTATTCACTCATCATCAAGATGAATTAAAATGGCATCCTCAACCTTATTTCCTTAAACTCAAGAAATGATATACGAGTCTCCAAAATTCTCAGGTATTTTATCAGTTATCCAATACTGAGCTATAAGACATCCCAGAACTTATTGGCATAAAGCAACAATCATTTTATTTGCTCAGGATTCTGTGGGTTAGAAGTTCATGCAGGCCTCAATAGAGGCACTTGTCCTTCTCCACACCAGCCTGACAGAAGCTGGAGGACCCAAGGGGGGTTCACCACCAAGTCTGAGTGAGAAAAGGCTGAGAAAATTGTCTTTCTCTGACTGACTTATTTTGCTTAGCATAATAGCCTCTAGTTCCATCCCCTTTGCTGCAAATGGCAAGATACCATTTTTGACGGCTGAGTAGTATTCCATTGTATATATATACACCACATCTTTATCCATTCATCTGTCGATGGACATCTGGGCTCTTTCCACAGTTTGGCTATTGTGGACATTGCTGCTATTGGGGTGCAGGTGCCCCTTCAGATCATTACCTTTGTATCTTTGGGGTAAATACCTAGTAGTGCAATTGCTGGGTCATAGGGTAGCTCTATTTTCAACTTTTTGAGGAACCTCCATACTGTTTTCCAGAGTGGCTGCACCATCTTGCATTCCCACCAACAGTGTAAAAGCGTTCCCCTTTCTCCACATCCTTGCCAACATCTGTCATTTCCTGACTTGTTAAGTTTAGCCATTCTGACAGGTGTGAGGTGGTATCTCATTGTGGTTTTGATTTGTATTAAGGAAACATTTTCCAGAAAGCCTTTAAATCTCATTGACTGTAACTGTATGTGTGCCCATTCCTAAATCAGTCTCTGGCATGAGAATTACCACAATTGGCTTAGGATTATCAAGATTCACCCCCTGGAACTATATAAGGAACAGTCTCCCCTGAAGCATATAACTGCCTGATACCAGAACAAAATCAGAGTTTTATTAGTGCAAGGAAGAAGAATTGGATGCTATATGGTAAGCACCTAACTGTGACTGCCAGTGATGCAGATGTTGAATAAGAAGTATGAAAAAGTTTGATTCAAATGCCAAAAGATCTTCCTTTAAATTATAAAAACTCCTGAAATGTTAATAAACAGTTCACAAAGACTCATGACTGATTTTTAAAAAAGTACAGATTAAAAAAAAAGCACTTAGAAAAAAATGTTTAAGTAAATAAAATACACATCTTTTTGTCATTGATATTGAAAGTCATCTTGGCTATCAATGTGGCCTGTGCAGAGGTGGTGCTTAAAAAGAGAGAGAAATGAGTTGTTAAAGCTTAGCACTGATCTGCAAAATCCCTTTAAGATTTATTGAGAAATTCCTCTCAAGGAGGCTTTGGATTAGGTTTTGTCCTATTAACTCTTTTCTGGCATCCAGAGGGCACAAGTAGCCGAGAAAAAAAAATACATATATATGTATATATATTATAATCTCAGAGTTAAACAGGTGTGCCATCTTCAGCCACCATGTTGGGGTGGAACCCATATTTTACAGATCCGCCTCTGCAGAGCACAGCTGTGTGGAGACAGGAAGTCAAGAACCAATGGCCATTTATTTCACCAGTGGGACCACAGGCTCTCCCAAGATGGCCCAGCACTCTCAGAGCAGCCTCGGAATTGGCTACACCCTCTGTGGAAGGTAGGGAAGAAAACCATTTTTGCTAAACTCTCCCCTGAGCTGCCAACATGTATATCCAACTGCCTAGCTGACACCTCCACTTGGATGACTATTGGATTTCTCCAGTGTAACATCTAAAAAACAGAATCTTTGATGCCCCTGCCCAGCCTTAGCTCAGTAAATGGCAACATCTCACCAACTGATCAAGCAAGAATTTATAGGTTAAATAGGTGATGGGGATTAAGGAATGCACTTGTGTGGTGAGTGCAGGGTGATATACAGGAACCAACTTTGACCCCATCTCCACAACAGCATGCCTGGTTCCTTCTCATTGCCAAGTAAATTCACCCACCCAGAAAGGCCTTCCCAGGTACCCTAAAACTATCACTTCACCCTGTTTTATTTTCCTCAGAGCATGTATCATTATTTGAAATTATGATACTGATTTATATTCTTACTCGTTTTATTGTGTGCTTATCTGCTGTCTGTCTTGCTAAAGTAAGAGCAGATATCTGGTCTACCTCACTCACTGTGCTAGGGAGAACAGTGCCTAGCATATATTTGCACAATAAATATTTGTTGCATCCATGAACAAACTCAGAATATCATGTCAAACCCAGCCTTCCTCTCTACTTTCAGATTACCTAGGATTCTGAGAAAGTCCTCTAACAAAAGTGGGAGATAGAATCACTCATCCTGCCTTTGGGCTTCTTTTGACCCTTCTCTGTAGCCACTGAGATTCTGGCCAGTTCTTGAAGATTCCAGTTTGTTTGCTTTTCTGTTTTGTTTTGTTTTGTTTTGGGGCTTTTTGGTCTGTCTTGTTGCTTCTTCACATCATTTAGGTATTGGCTAGACCTGAAGTCCTCAGATATCATATGGAGTATGTCTGACACTGGCTGGATCAAGGCTGCCATTGGCAGTGTGTTTTCATCCTGGCTTCAGGGAGCCTGTGTCTTTGTACATCGGATGGCCCAGTTTGACACTGATACCTTCCTAGATGTAAGTCATGGTTTCTTGCTACATCTTTCCCTTGTCTCTCTCCCCCAACCCCAAACCCCTGCCAAAACCACAAAAGAATGATTCTTCAGAATATAGTTTCCTGGACTTGTGGAAATCATTCCTTTTTAAGAAATTAAGTCTCTGGGGATTTGGCTTTTGAATGTATTTAACAGAGAAGGAACACCCACAACACTCTCATGCTTCAAACTATTCAGGATTTGCTCACATCCCACCTGAGAGGTTCTAAATAACAGATCACAAGTCTCAAGTCTAAACAAATCTTTGGTTTCTGATTCAGTGAAACAAAACAATAGGCAATAAATCCAAAACCCTATATAGAGAAGATTGAAGGTGGGGTTACCTTTCTCCCAGAGCAGCTCCTTCCATTCTCCCCTCACCCTGTGCTTTTCCCTTTGTTAATTCTCAGAACCCAGTATTTGTCTTAAAACCAAGCAAGTTCCTCCTTCTCAGCCAGGCACAGCTAGACTGCGGTATCAGATTGCTCTGATTTCTTTAGCCTTTAGAAAGATGTGATTCAGGCCAATTATTTTTCAACCATGAAAAACCAATTATGTTTAATGAAATACATATTATTAAACACCACACCTGTGTGTAAATAAAAGCTATACTCACCCTGTTATTTTGCTAACTGGTCTGACAAGATGGCTTGAAGGTGTTAACAGAAATGGTGGGTAACATAAGAACTGGGTGGGATCTCTACATCAGGTTTACAAAGTGATCTGAGTAGATAAACTAACTTTGCAGTTCTAAAACCTGTATTTTTAAAAATAAGAATATTTTTATAAAATATTAAATATCATATATTTAAGTAAAAGAATATACTTAATAGTCTTCTTTAATATTATATTAAATAAGATATATTAATGATGTGATAATATATGGTATTTATATTAAATAAGTCTATTAAAATAAGAATACTCTTATTTTACAAAGATAGTGTGTGTATTTTAAGTGCTTTAAAAACTTTACACTATTCTTAGTTACATGCATTTATGCTTATTAAGACTAGTTCGAATCAAGGGAGCAAGTAGAGACAGTAGAAATGCTCACTTACAGATCAAAAGTTTTTCTTGATCTTTGACAATCCAGATAGCCTAGAAATACATCTTGAAAATATTCTCTCAAATGCTTAAACTTAATACAAACTGTCAATTCATTATGTGACATAGTGGAATCTCTCTAGAAATAGGACATCTAAAACATGAGTATTTCTTGGGTGCCTGGGTGGCTCAGATGGTTAAGCGTCTGCCTTCGGCTCAGGTCATGATCCCAGGGTCCTGGGATCGAGTCCCGCATCGGGCTCCCTGCTCCTTGGGAGCCTGCTTCTCCCTCTACTTCTCTCTCTCTCTCTCTCCCTCCCTCTCTCTCTCCTTCTGTCTCTCACAAATAAATAAAATAAAATCTTTAAAAATAAATAAATAAATAAATAAAAAATAAAACATGAGTATTTCTCTAGATTTTTCAAGGAGCTGGAGGTAAAATGAGCCTGGCAAATCTTAAACAGTTAAGGAAAGGACTGAAAAATGCCTTACTAATGCATTTAATCAATCCACTCAAAAGGAGTGTCTTTTTTTTTTTTTTTTTTAATTTGAGAGAGAGAAATGCAAGCAGGAGGAGGAGCAGACGGAAGGGGAGAGGAAGGAGGAAAGAATCCCAAGCAGGCTCTGTGCTAAGTGTGGAGCTAGCTATGCAGGGCTCAGTCTCACTACCCTGAGATCATGACCTGAGTAGAAACCAAGAGTCGGAGGCTTAACCGACTGAGCTACCCAGGTGCCCCAGGACTGATGTCTTTTATAGAAAAAGTGTTGGATGCTTTTGGTAGGTTGGCAGGAGGTTTCAAAATTCCACAATGAAAGGTAATTTGCAGCCCTGAGGTAGAATAAACCAGTTCACACTTTGGGGCTGGTCTCAAATTCAAAAATTTACTTTCTGTTGAAGTTGATTGTGTATGACTATTACTCTAACATACACGTGTTCTTTCCAAAATTGGAAATTCCTGACATACAGTCACAAGTGACAAATAATAAATACTTGCTTTCTTATTCCTAGTAGTGATCATATGATGGAAAACTGTCAATGAAAGAGGATAAGGGGTTGCAGACATCAGCTCTAGTTGTGGCCTCTAATTAACCATTTCTGACAACTGTCTTTCTCCATCATCCAGACGCTCACCACTTATCCCATCACGACCCTGTGCAGCACTCCCACTGTGTACCGGATGCTCGTGCAGAAAGATCTGAAAAGGTACTTGGGTGGAAATCCCCATTTGAAGCACAAACAAAAGCTGCAGTCTAGCATCATAGATCTCCTCATTTCAGTGCAGGTTTCCTCAGTCTTGCCACTATTGACATTTTGGACTGAATAATTCTGTGTTGTCGGGGGCTGTCCTGTGCATTGTAGGATGTTGAGCAGCATTCTACCCAGGCTCCACCTCCTAGATGCCAGTAGAACCTCCCTGTGACCATCAAAAATGTCTCCAGACATTGCCTAAATCGCCTTCCAGTTGCTCCTAAGGATAGCCTCTAGGGGCAACTCCACATTTTCTCAGGAACAACTAGAACCCTACAATCCAAGAACTAACCCCCCTCCACCCCAAAATACAACTGCATTTATGCTGCCTTGAAGAAAAGCTAATGAAGTCTTATGACTTCAAAATTACAATCAATTTATCCAAATCACCTGAACCCCTAGTGGACTTGCAATGTATATTTACTTAACCAATATGAATTGAATACATGAGAGAGAGAAAGGAAGAGAGGAACAGTGTAAGTAGTGACAATTTAAGTAGTGCAGGCCCACTCATCCTCTGTCCCCCCCAAATGTGGATGCCCAGGAGGGAGAGTGCTATGAAACAAAATAAAGCAGATCTGAACCTTCTCTTATCTTAGTCAGGGTCAACTCCCTTGTGGCCCTCAATATGTGAGCATCCTTTTTTTTTAAGATTTATTTATTTGAGAGAGAGAGGGAGGGAGCACATGGTGGGAAGGGGCAGGGGGAGAGAGAAACTCAAGCAGACTCTGCACAGAGCATGGAGCCTGACATGGGGCTCGATCTCACAACCCCGAAATCCTGAGATCACAACCCCAAGGTCACAACCTGAGCCCAAACCAAGAGTCAGAAGCTCAACTGACTGCGCCACCCAGGCACCCCTCAAAATGTGAGCATCTTGCTCACATCTCAAGAGTAGTTCAAGGGCTTTCAAGGGTTATTTTGAATAGGCACAATTCTTGTCCTGCCCATTGGAGACCTCAGTGCATCAGAGCCGGGCTGTTACAGACTTTCTTGAGAAAGTGGGCAGCAGAGTAGTAAGGCCAGTGGTGAAAAGCTTGATCTCCAAAGTCAAACAAGTGGGGCTCTGCTGTATACTACTAGTGAGACCTCAGACACTCAAGATGACCTTGCTAAGTAAGCCTCCCTTAATTCCAGCCACAAGAGGGGATTAAGAGTTGCCTCGTGGGTTTGTGGTGAGAATTCAGCATAAGTGGCCTACATGGTCAGACACCAGACAAATGCTGGGGGCAGAGTAGTCAACTCAGCCCTTCTTGAGGCCTTGGGCAACTTTAAGTTCTCCCAGCCTCAATTTCCTCATCTGTAAAATAGGGCGTGAAGATTATGAGAATGCTCCTAAAGCCCTTACAGCACAGTAAATGCTCAATTATTGTTAGTTGTTTTATCACTTGGTTCATAGTAAGTGCTGAAGATCATTATCAGCATTTTCTCCTAGTTCTCCCCTCCTTTAATAGCCTGCTAAAATGCAAGCACTGTCAGGAAAGTTTTAATCACTAACATGCCCCACACAACCTACCATATCTGATAAGATAGTAGGTGCTCAAAAATATTTGCTGAATGACCCTTCCTAAGACTTGCCTTTCCTAGGGTGCCTGGGTGGCTCAGATGGTTGGGCATCTGCCTTTGGCTCGGGTCATGATCCCAGGGTCCTGGGATCGAGTCCCACATCGGGCTCCCTGCTCCTTGGGAGCCTGTTTCTCCCTCTGCCTCTCTCTCTCATGAATAAATAAATAAAATCTTAAAAAAAAAGATTTGCCTTTCCTAGCTCGTTTGCTCGTTGCTAGAACATCCTAATCATTTTTTAATGAAAGCCATTCAGATTTTTTCTCCCCTAAGACCCCATGAGACTCTTGTGTCTGCAGATATAAATTCAAGAAGCTACGGCACTGCTTGACAGGAGGGGAGCCACTCGACCCGGAGGTGCTACAACAGTGGAAGGCACAAACTGGGCTGGAACTGTATGAAGGCTACGGACAGACAGAAGTGGTATGTTTAATGGGCAAAGTTTAAGTTTAGCATATTGGGAGCCTTTCAACCCCAGGCTGAGCTCCTGAAGAGCCCCTTTGGTGCTCTAAATTTTTAGTTTCCCAGAATACCTAACCTTGCCCAGTAACTACCAAGACCTCTGAATTGCCCAATTTGGCTGGGCTAGCGGGGAATTAGGATTGTTCCTTGCAGTCTTCCTGTCTTCTCCCCATGCAGAAGTCTCAAAGGTGTTAGGGGTTGGAGAGGGTCAGAATCAAGTGCTCATCTTCTCAGCAGCACTGAGGACCCCAGAGAGCCCCAGTGGGGAATTTATCCCAAGGTGCACTAAATGGGACCCTTAGTCTAAAGGAGTAGTTTTCAAAGTGTGGTCCCCAAACCAGCAGCAGCAGCAGCATGTGGGAATTTTGTAGCAGTACAAATTCTCAGACACCCCACCCCACCCCAGCCAGGCTTCCTGAACCAGCAACTCTGGGATGGGGCCTGGCAATCTGTGCTTGGACAATAAATGTCCCAGGTAATTCTGACACACACGTTTGAGAAGCGCTGGTCTAAAATAGAGTGAGTGTGTGTGTGTGTGTGTGTGTGTCCAGAAGACAAGCACGCATACTGGGAAGATCAGTCCAGTCAAAACTGAGTCTTATGTTTTATTGTCATGATATAAATAGCTACAGAAAATAAATTTTTACATTCTTATATAAAACATGTTCTCTCAACAGGGAATAATTTGTGCCAATCAGAAAGGACAAGAAATTAAACCAGGCTCGATGGGGAAAGCAGTACTACCCTATAACGTCCAGGTGGGTAATATCTGACTGTTTCAGTAAAGAAGAATGTTTTAGTTTTCTGCTAGTCACTGTACAACTATTCATAACCTGTTTTCATTTTGTAAAAAGAAAATTTTAGGAACCTAAATTGTTTCTTTCATTCTAGATTATAGATGAAAATGGCAACATCCTACCACCTGGCAAAGAAGGGGAAATTGCCCTCAGACTAAAGTCTACACGGCCCTTCTGTTTCTTCTCTGAATATGTGGTACAAGAACATACAATGTGCTAGTCACAAGTTAATAGAAAGGTGGTATAGGGAGTCATAACAGACTTGGGTCCAAATTTCATATCCACCATGTGTTGCTGTATAACCTTGGGCAAGTCACAAAATCCAAGTCTATTTCATCAACTGTAAAATGGGGAGAATATCACCTATCTCCTAAGAGTTTTGTAAAGATTAAATTCTATGTGTAATAAACCAATAGCTGTGCTTGTCTTTGGAAAAGACAACTAGTCAGGCTGCAGAGGGCAGGGAGGGGGCAATACGGGGCAGAAGAGGTGCAAGAGGGGTTTCCTTTTCATTATATTCTTGAACTTTTTGTATTCTACAGTAGGAACTTTTTTTTTTAATTTCTTTTAGAAATTTCTTTTAATTTCTTTTAGCAAGGTACCAGTCACTTCATGGGTGTCATATCCCTTTTTCCATTCTGACCAAATTAACCCCCAAAGTCATCTTTGATTCCTAGGATAATCCACAGAAAACTGCTGCCACAGTAAGAGGGGACTTTTATGTCACTGGAGACAGAGGAGTGATGGACAGTGATGGGTATTTCTGGTTTGTCAGCAGAGCTGATGATGTCATCATATCCTCTGGGTTTGTACATTTGCCACTCTTAGAGAGTTAACAGATTGACAGGGGAGATCTCCTACTTGGGTGATGTAGTGATCAAGGGCTTCGTTTCTTCTTCTAGGTACCGAATTGGGCCGTTTGAAGTGGAGAGTGCGCTCATTGAACACCCAGCAGTTGTTGAATCAGCTGTTGTCAGTAGTCCGGATCCAATCAGAGGAGAGGTAGAGTGAATGTCATTAAAGTAGCAATTTCATATTTTCTAGTTCTATCCATTTGACCCCTCTGGAGAATCAATCAAGAGTAGTCATGTAATTCTCATGATGAAGCACACATGTGCCAAAAATATATACTAGGCACTCAACTTTTTTTTTCCTCTTCATTTTCTTCATTATGTTCAGTTAGCCGTCATATAGCACATCATTAGTTTTTGTTGCAGTGTTCAACGATTCATCAGTTGCGTATAACACCCAGTGCTCATCACAACACATGCCCTCCTCAATACCCATCACCCGGTTACTCAACTTTACAAATGAGTTGTGTCCCAAAGGGGATGTATTAGGATGCATTTAGTGGTAAGTGACAGAAACTCAACTCAAACTGACTTAAGTTTTTAAAAAAGGAATTTATTGGCTCATATGTAAGTGAGGTCGTCTTCAAGTACAGCTACATCCAAGGGTTCATGTGAAGTAAGCAAAACTTTGTCTCTCTTCATTTCCTGGCTGTTGTCCTTTAGGTTGGCTCCATTCAGACAGGTTCTCCCTACTTGGTAGCAACTGATTGCAAATGCACACAGCTTCACAACCAGTAAAGGAGATGGCTCCTTTTCCAACAGTTTCAAGCAACTCCCAGAATAACATTTGCCTATCTTAGATCACATATCTAATCAATGTGGTCCAGAGAATGGTATATGCTCACTGGCCAGACCTGGATCATCCATTGGTCATTGGAAGTAGAAGTTAGTGTCAACACCACCACAGAGAGAAGTTAGGGTAATGCTCTATAGGAAAATCAGGGTACTATTACTAAAAGGGGGGAACAAGGGACACCTGGGTGGCTCAGTCAGTTGGGCTGCTGCCTTCGGCCCGGGTCGTGATCCCAAGGTCCTGGGATCGAGTCCCACATCAGGCTCCTTGCTCAGCAGGGAGCCTGCTTCTCCCTCTCTCTCCCTCTGCTTGTGCTCTGTCAAATAAATAAAATCTTTAGAATAAATAAATAAAAGGGGGGAACAGATGCTGCATAAGAAAAAGCAGATTTTACTGTATGTATGATTGTCATGGAACTCAGAATACATTTCCTCATAGAAACAATGCAAATAGAAGACTGTGGCCAGGTTCCGAAACAAGTTCCACAAGCCTACTTAGGACCTAATGAAAGGGAACTTGGGGAATGACAGTAATAGCCTTAGTTTTAGGAGGAAGCCATGTAGTATGGAAGGGAGACATTTCCTTTCCTCATGGAAGTTTCTTAGACTCAGTAAGTAGCAATATTTCAAAAACAGTTTGTGTATCAGCATCCTCCCACATCTCTTTCTATAATGCCTTTTTTTCAAAAAAGATTTTATTTACTTATTTGACAGAGAGGAGAGCACAAGCAGGGGGAGGGGCAGAAGGAGAGGGAGAAGCAGGCTCCCCACTGAGCAGGGAGCCTGATGTATGGCTTGATCCCGGGATGCTGCGATCATGACCCAAGCCAAAGGCAGACAGTTAACTGACTGAGCCACCCAGATACCCTCTCTGACGCCTTTTACATACCAGTAACCCTCTGCAGTGATTCTACGGATTCCATACTCAAACCTCCTGTACAACCTCCACACCCAATGGATTCTATTCTCCAAAGTACTTTTCTCCTGCCACCATATTCTCATTCTCTCAATATAGTCGGTTTCATCTGAACATTAGAAGTAAATACTGACTGGAATCAATGTATGAATAATTAATAATTTAAACTATAATTAACCTCAATAATTAATTGGTGGGTTATGAATAGTATTCCAAAAAGAAGCAAGAAATATTAGGCAACTGGGCGCCTGGGTGGCTCAGTTGGTTAAGCGACTGCCTTCAGCTCAGGTCATGATCTTGGAGTCCTGGGATCTAGTCCCACCTCAGGCTCCCTGCTCGGCGGGGAGTCTGCTTCTCCCTCTGACCCTCTTCCCTCTCATGCTATCTCTCATTCTCTCTCTCTCAAATAAATAAATAAAATCTTTAAAAAAAAAAATTAGGCAACTTTTTTTGCCTAGATAGATCCTTCCCAAGAGTTCATCTCCCAGCATACAAAATCCTTTCACCAAGCCTCCCCAAATCCCTTTCAAACCATATTCTCTGGAACCTCCATTTGTCTCCCTATTACATGCTTCTAACAGTGTAGGTCTGGAGTAAGTGATCATCTGCAAATCAAGGACTGCCTATATAATATATAGGACTAGTCTGACTGAAATGTTAAATACATGTCTGACATGTAAATAAAACTCAACTTTATTGAAACACTGCACTCCTCACACTCACAAACCATTTATCTGGAATTAGATCTCAAAACCCCACTTGTATCCAAGCTCCGTCAGAGGTGATCTCTGGATTTGCATTCATCACTCAAGCTGCTGTTAACAAATAATTATAAGTACCTGTGTTCAGCATTGGTTCCAAACTCCTGATGTGTCTGAAAAACAAACATCGATATAAATTGACTTTTCTCCTACAGGTAGTGAAAGCTTTTGTTGTCTTATCTCCATCCTTTAAATCATCCAACCCAGAGAAATTAACTCTTGAACTTCAGGATCATGTGAAAAAATCAACTGCACCTTATAAATATCCAAGAAAGGCAAGTATTTTTTGCTCAAGAGTGTGTTACCAAACAAGGTCTAAGCTATTAAGTACAGAGATTTTATTAGCTTTTGACTTTATGGTAGTTCATTATATAAGTAGAAGACACCTATTTCAACTTGTTTAGCCGTAATAATTTTGCTTTAAAAAATTTCTTTAGGATGCTTAAATTTTGATAAACTAGTTTTGATCAACTCTGAAATACTGAATAATTACTAAGGATCCTTATAAGACTAATCAGTCCCATTCCATGAGAAAAAAAAAAATGGTGGAAAAAATTTAAGACAGCACCTGATTCGGCTATCAGTACTCCTGAGCCATAATACTCTTCAAAGCACAAGCCTTTAAGTATCAAGTGACCAAACTTAAGGCTCAGAAAAAATAGATGTTATCCAAAGAAACTGTGGAATCTTTCCTGAAACCTTCTTCAATAAAATCTTTAAAAAAGTAATAATTCTATATAAAAACACAGAGATGGCACTGCAATTTTCTTCCTTCTCATCCTGGAATACTGTTGGTTGATATTGATCCTTAAGATATCATTTGGTATTTCAACCAAAAGGTAGTTGACTTCAACTTAAGAACTAGCTACATTTTCTCCATTAAATTTACTAAATCAGTCACCAGTTGATTTTCAAAAATGTTTAGAAATTTTAAAATAGTCACATCTTGAGAGAGGGAAACAAAGAGAGGATTTTACCATGAGCATAAGGGGAAAATTTTTTGTACTCAAAATTAACTCTCAAAAGTCTCCCTCAGAAAGGATTTGCAGGACCCAACTCTTAAAAGCCCAAAACCCAAGAATTAACTTGTTTCTCTGTGCATTTAGGTGTGGTGTCTATTTCCTTGGGGAGTAGAGGCCGAAGTCTAGTTTGAACTGGAAAGGGAAGCAACGGAGTAAAGGGATCACTATATTCTTCTGACAAAGCATATAACCTTTGCACTAAAAACTCATATGATGTAGCTCCAATGTCAACTAGACTATCAACACAAGAATTTCAATGAGCTTAGGCTAAGACATCCCCCAGACTCAAACTCACCAGTTACATGAAAGCTCTCCCTATTGTACTGACAACTGGGATTGTCAAAATGGAATCAAGTGTCTCATAGTATGTTTCTCTGTTAATTAGGTGGAATTTGTTCCGGAACTCCCGAAGACAATCACTGGGAAAATCAAACGCAACGTTCTGAGAGACCATGAATGGGGTCGAACATAGCCTGAGAAGAAACTATGGCATTAAGTAGTTACAGGCTTGCTTTCATTGAGTCCTTGCTTCCTGATAATTTAGTGATTACTCTCTTACAATGCTGAAGATTTTTCCTGGTTGAAAAACTCAACTTTTTTGTTCTGTACGTAGCAAAAAATTAAATAAATAAATATCCAAAAATATTTGGGAAGAAAACGGTTATGATGACCAAACTGACAAAGGCAATGATTTTAATGACTTGCAGGGTTTAAAATAGCAAATGATTACTTAGAAAAGCACAGTGGACAATGAATTTATCTTGCGCCTGATTGAGTCAAAATAAAGATTAGAACTATTCTAAGAAAAATGTTCAAGACAGAATTTCTTCTGCTTAACATCTTATATTACTAGTTCTCTAAAGTGAGTTAAAGGGGTGTCTGGGTGGCTCAGTTGGCTAAGCATCTGACTCCTGATCTCTGCTCGGGTCTTGACCTCAGGGTCATGGGTTCGAGCCCCACGTTGGGTTCTATGATAGGTGTGGAGCCTACTTAAAAAAAAATAAAGTGAATTAAAGTATTAATTTTAAAATAAGGAATATAAGTAATTCAAAAGCCAGTAAGTGCATTTAATTAAGTACTGTATTACTATACCTTTTTTTTTAAAAGATTTATTTAGAGTCCGGGGGGGGGGGGGCAGAGGGAGAGAGAGAATCCAAGCAGACTCCCTGCTGAGCAAAGAGCCCAACATGGGGCTTGATCTCACAATCAAGATATCAAGACCTAAGCTGAAATCAAGAGTTGGACGCTTAACCAACTGAGGCACCCAGGCACCCCTAACCTCCTCTTGAAGCCAGTTCACTGTAAAATATCTTATGTTTGGATTACTTACAAGTAATTAATCAAGAGCAATTATTCCAAAAGTTTTATATCTGTACTTTTTTAGGACAATGTACATGACTTTTGGTACATAATTTGACATGTAAGCATCTTTTATGAGATATCTATTATAAAGCAAGAGATTTATTAAGAGGCAGGAAGAAAGAAAAAGCAAAGAACACCAATCTTTAGGGAACAAATTTATTTTGATTTTTCTGAAAATATCAGGAACTATAAAAACAAGCTAAATATCTGGCCATACCAAAAGCAAAATACAAGTAAAAACAACATTTAGAAATCATGTGTGACCTTAAACAGGTTTCAAGATACTAAGCTTAACATTCTTTCCTCCACAGAGCAAAACAAGTCTACTAAACCACAATACTGGAGTTTTTTTTTAACTGACATAACTTAAAAAAAAAATTAAAAGAAAAAAAGAAACCACTCAATTCCCACCCTGGAATCTCATCATTTATAAAACAACATGCTCAAATGTCAGTGACAATAAAGTTGGGAAACCTGAAAACCTATCAATGAAAGAATTCAGATTCCAACAGAACACAGTGCTTTATAGCTGGGGAAGAATAGCTTTTGTCGCACTCAGGTCCTACCAAATACAAATAAATACAAGAAGATTAAAAACAAACTACTAAATCAAAATATTTCTGTAGAGTAGCAGCTTTCACAAAGTAAAAGGAATCCAGCTCTGCAGAGTTAGATGTTCTAAAAGCATATGGCCAATTTTATTCCCAAAGTCCCAGAGTCTTGCACTATCAAAATAAAAGTATCTTTGTCTTGGAGCAAGTCCACTGAAGGCACCAAAATCCTATCCTCCGTGTTCATGCAAATGAAACTTAAAATCCTCTTATCATCCTTTCAAGATGACCTCAACCTATTAAGAGTTAACACTCTTAAATATCTAAAGATCTCGAAGGAAGTTCCAGCCTCATCTGCATTTCCAAGGTCCAGTCTATATAGCTTTTGCCCCTCCCAAATCCTTCTAGTCTGGACCCCTAGTTTAGGAGGATAAAAATACATTCCCATACTCCTAGCCATTAAATAAACACAGACATTGGTGCAGGAAGACTCAACAGCTATACTACTGAACTTCTTAAAACTTAATAAACCCTTCTCCAAAAGTGAATTTCATAGCCTATTAATATTTATTCTCAGTCTGGATTTAGTATGCAGCCCTCTTTGGTGTCCGTCTCTTCCAGGCTTTTCAGTGGTTTTACCCTGGAGGAAACCTTGAAAAAACTTCAAATTACAGGAACCCGCATGGCATGGGATTATGAGCACTGAAAGACAGAATTTGTGCCTCTTGTTGCACTGGCATACTGAAGAAACTCAGAACACTAATTCTTCATCACTAACCTTATCAGAAATGTCTAGTTCTATGCCTAGAATGGTCCTCTTCTATCTCACACCATGCCTTCAAAAATTGCAGCACTGGACCATCAGATTTGTAACAAATGTTAATAAAATGTAAAAACTGGCATAACAACTAAGTAACAGAATCACAAAAAAATAGAAAAACTTCACAAAAACAATTCACTTCTAAACCTATAAGACCCATGTTTTTGCAATGTTCACAACAAAGTGGGGAGAGCTGAGTTGTAACACATAAAAATTCCTTCCTTAGAATGAAAATTTCCCTATGACTTTCTCTTTTACAGAGTTTGTTTGCTCCCGTAAGTCAGATAGCAACACAGAAGGGGCAGCTGGCAAAGGTAATCAGGAGGGAGAGGCCAACACCATCTTCCTTCCACCCTCCCCTCCACGAAAGTGTTCATCATTATCCATACTACTCCTAGCTCAACCAAATGCATGTAGGCCTAACTGCACCCTGGCATAGGGGGCTGAAAAGATCTCCAACAGAACTGTTAACAGGGCTGCCCAATCACGGTTCACTATTATGAGTTCAGCATTATGCAGCACACAAAGGTCAAAAACAATATATTTATTCAGTCACAATTTTATATGGAATCATAGCAATATCTTACCAACGCCATCTGAGAAACCCACCTGCAACACCAAATGAATTTTTTTTCCTTATGAGAGATCATTTTCGTTTGACTCAGATCTTTCTGTGACTTGACTTTCATGTTCAGGTTTAGCTCCTCCCTCATTGACCACTTGTGTCTCAGATCGTGGTTTTGTCTGCCCCAGTTCCTCATTATTTTCTGGTACCAGCTGCTGGTTATTTGTTCCTTCTGCTGGGTCATGTTGATTTGATTTGTCACCAGATTCCAATTTAGCTTCTTTCCCATTTCCTACTTGCACTAGCTGCTTTGGGTTAAGTTGTGATGGGTCCTTAGCACTCTTTACCACCTCCTGGAGATTATACTTTCTGAACAACATATAATCTTTGACAACACTCAGGCAACAGACAGCTTTAATTATTTCTACTACCACTGTGTACTGTGGATTGGTAAGATCCACTTTATTTTCCGAATTGAGGCTGCCTACTATTCCTGTAACAAAAAGAAGAGGGAAACATTTAGAGGGAAAAGGATACCATGATGCTTGACAGATACAATCTTTCATCTTTCTGTCTGGGACTTGTTATACCAATATATATACTAATCTACTCTTCTACATGGACCTCAATCAAATTCTTTGAACTCTGGGCCCCTGGGTAGCTCCGGTCATGATCTCAGGGTCCTGGAATCAAGCCCCATATAGGGCTCTCTGCTCAGTGGGGAGTCTGCGTGTCTCCCTCTCCCCCCACCCCCAGCTCCTGCTCTCTCATGTTCTCTAATAAATAAATCTTAAAAAAAAAATTCTGTAAACTCTTTCAATAAATAAATACAAATGAAATCCTGAGACATTTAATGAGTACTTTTTTTTCAAAGAAAATTCAATCTTGATTTGGAAGATTTCATATCTACCTACCAGAAAGTCTCATATCCAACATATCGAAATCTGTTAGGTTTGATATTATTTTAAGGACCTTTTTTTTTTTTTTTAAATAATCTCTGCCCCCAACATGAGGCTTGAACTCACACCTGGGATCAAGAGTCACATGCTTTACTGGCTAAGCCGGCCAGGGACCCCTATTTTAAGGACATTTTATTTTTTATTTTATTTTTTTAAAGATTTTATTTATTTATTTGACACAGAGAGAGCACACAAGTAGGGGGAGCGGCAGGCAGAGGGAGAGGGAGAAGCAGGCTCCCCACTGAGCAGGGAGCCCTATGCAGGGCTCGATCCCAGGACCCTGAGATCACGACCTGAGCCGTAGGGAGACACCTAATGACTGAGCCACCCAGGCGCCCCTAAGGACATTTTAATATACTTCTTTTATACCCAAAAATATAAGCCTTAGGTTGTAAAAAAAAAAAAATTCATAAAATCAAGAACAAGTATTTAGTATTGTATACTAATGTAAAATCACTAAGAAAAACATACCTGCCAATTCTTTGATAACTTCTTCTCTATTCATGTGACTGTTATTTCGAGATTTATATACAATCTGAAATGTCCCTTTGTTTGGAGCTTTAAACCAGGGTTCCAAAAATGTTTCTGCATATTTTTTCATATCTTCTAAGAAAGCCTTGCACGTGCCTGAAATGGGTAACATACGTAGAATAACCCGAGTCTTCTTCTTCTTGGTTTTGTACATATCCTGGAGAATATGATGTACCAATTTCTCAGGTTCTAAAGGAAAAAAGAAAAAAGCACAAAGCAAACAAGTTAAGAATAAAAACTCTCGGACATTTCAGAACCTCTTCAAACTCTCTATAAAATGAATTTTCATTGGCAATGACCTATGTCAACAGTATAGTAGAAGAAATTATCATAATGAATGTTAATAAACCTAATCAAACATTTTCCAACTTTCTTCACTGCCTATAATGATTATTACTATATCTAATAAGTTAACTCTTCAGCATTGTTACTGCTTTCGCTAAAAACAATTGTTCATGAAGACATTGCAGTTAACATTTTTGTGATGTCTCATTTGTCCAATAACACCTTACTGTTTTCCCATAACAATAGCAACTACAGACATAACATTATTAAATAGTACACTTTTTTACAAAACAAACAAATCTGCAAGTCACTTTAAAAAGATTTAATTCATCCATTAGTTAAGTCTGTACAATATTCTAGATGTCAGAACTCAGAGAAGCCCCCAAACCATGAATTACACAAGATCATGATATGGTCCTTAGACCATCCTCACTACCTGCAAGTCTGTTTGGGGCTACTCAGTGTTTTCAATACTTTTAAATTAGTTAACTGCATTAAAAAAATCTAGGAACTTCTCCAGATTTCCAACTTCTTTTGAAAAACCAGAAGATCTGGCCCTACAGGACTATATTCCAGATGGCTGGAGCCATTCCAAACTGGCTGGCGCTGAAGAGCAGCTTCTCCTCTTAAACAGAATACATACTCATTTCACCTAAAGTTACATACAAAGAAAGTGGCAAAGCCAGGTTTCCACTCCTAAGCCAATGTGATTTTCCCCACCCCATTCTACCTTTCCATATGCCTAGCGCTAGAACCGTGAGGAAAAGATCAAATGATTAACTGAGCCATAACCATGAAGCCATTTTGTAGGCAGTGTTCTGAGGCAAGCAGATGTGCAGATGTCCAGATGTCCAGATATTACAGGCTCAATAATCTTAAGGTTTATTAGTCAGACACACCTATTCCAAGCGTCCTGATGAAGACTACATTGTTGGCTCCACTCTCCACTGACTGGAATCTTCTTAGCTTCATCTTTGTTGATGCTTTAATGTCACCAACTTCTTTCTTCAAGGCAGCCTCCATGTCATCATCTTCTCCCTCACTTCCTGAGGGCTGCTGCTCTTTGTCTGTAAACTGCATGAAACAAATGAGCGGAAATGCAAAAACAGCTCATGTGAAAAGCTACAACTACCTATGTGAAATCTCCAGTGGCAGATGGATCAATACTGATAATAAAGATTTTTATTAAGAAAGTGACACATCACTCCCTACAAAATGTGGAGGAAAAAGGGAGTTCCCTCAGACTGGGGCACATATAATTTGGAAAATGCTTTCAAAAACATCTTAACATTCTGGGACACAGGGTAATGTGCTCACCAGATGAATTAATTCAAGATAAACCTTAATCCCATCACTAGATATCTTTGTGCCTAATAAGACAGTCTCTTTTTGGTGAGATTACGATGAAGGAGCAGAAGGCAAAGGACAAAGCCCAACGTCTGACACCCCGCAAACCCCAGCTCCCTCCCAGGTGGGATATGTGTAATATTCCTCAGGCACTCCTGGCTGCCCTAAAGCTAAGGGAAGGAAAAACAAATGGTTAACTAGTAGAGATCACAGTCCTGCAAGACAGGAATTTCCCTCAGCTTACAAATGTTTTAGGTGATTTACCAGGAAAAAAAAAAAAAAAGCATTCTTATCAATAACCTAAACTTCCAGAAGGAAACTCCCAACTATCTTACTATTGAACGCTTTACTAAAGGGGAAAAAAAAATCCTAACTTGGTAATGGCAAGGTCTCTATTATCTTGTAGGTCATCCTCTTTAGCATACAAAAGTTCTTTTGAAAATCTCCCTTTTCCTTTACCTCCCCCAACTTCCAAGTATATAATCAGTCACCCCTCACAGCCCCGGTGGAGCAGCTCTTTCTGCCCACAGGCCCTGTCCCTGTGCTTTAATAAAACATCATTTTGCAACAAAGATGTCTCAAGAATTCTTTCTTGGCTGTCAGCTCTGGACCTCATCTACATTCAAAAACTACATCAATTAGACCCAACAGTTATGGCATAAAAAAACCCTTGCTTCTATTCTAAGGAACAGGGAACAGAAACAGTCAAGAATTTGTTCAAGGTACCAGTGTAAACAGGACACTCACTTGTTGCCCATTTCTGGGCCCCACCATTATTAGTTTGCCAGACAGGCACTAATAATAATTAAACACATTTATGGAGCCTTTATTATATGCCAGGATGTATTTTATATACATAAGCAACTTTTCAGCCAACATTAGGTACACTATCATTTTTTTTATTTAGCTTAGCAAAATTAAATAATATACCCATTACCAAGCCCTAGAACTAGTAAATAATGGAACTTGAATCCAAATCCCCCCTGTATTGTCCTCCCCCTTTTAATTCATTGAGGTATTTGTGTATGTATTAGTCCAGATCCTAAGGCAAGAATATAATGATTTCCAAACTGTGATGGGAAAATTAGGTTTTAGGTGGTGTATGAAAGTTTTTACTTTTTAAACTGCATTTACACGCGCATTTGAAAAATAACTAGCACTAGTACTAAACCCACTATTTCAGAGACACTGCTTAGGGCAAACATCATTACAACCATGGTGTAAAAGTCGCGGTAAGCTATGACAAAACTATGAGGACAAATTAAGTTTCCCTTATTGGACCGTTTACTTAACCTTCAGTATCCTCGTGAACAACTTCACAAGCCTATTGTTTAGTAGTAAATGTTTGAGAGCTTCAGCTTTGAGAACACAACACGTGGACCGCAGAAGCAATCTATAAATAGGAGCCACCATAATTACTAATGGGGTGGGGGACCCAAACCTGCAAGTTTTTTAAGCATATACGCGGCAGGGGTCAGCAGCCCAGAAAAGGCGAAGAGGCGGCAACACAGGCGAGGCCACGCCCCTTCGCCAGCTCGGCCACAAACGCGCGCACGCGTATGAGAAAGCCGGCCTTGCAGCATTGCCTCATTACTCAAAGGCCGCTTGGACTCTCCGCGGCCCGTACCTTTTCCGGCCCATACATGTCGTCGCCGTATTCGTTGAGCAGGCTGTAGGCCTCCTCCACGCACTTGCGTTCGTTCATGTTGCAGGTAATGAGAATGCCCTGTAGGCCGGGTTCCAGCTGCCGGGGCCCGCCACCGTCGCAGCGCCGAGCCCGCTTGGCCTGCACATACGGAGCTTTGCCTTTGCGCTTTCCGCCGCTAGACTGAGGAGGCTGCTGGACGGGGGTCGCCATGGCGCATGAGAACCGAGGCTAGCGAGAAACGTGTTTCTCTTACTACTCCCGGCTTCCTCGCCTCTGCTGGCGCGAGCTGGCTTGCGTCATGTGCGCGCGACGACCTCCCCTAGTCCCGCCTCCAAGTTTCATTCGGTGCTGCGCGGGGTCCTAGAGCCGGTGGGTGGCAGGCTGTGGAGAGGTGGTGCGAGGCCCGCCTGTCGCGAAGGTTGAACGGCACTTCTTGCTGCTCACCAGCCCATGCTCCGACTTACTGGGAAAGCGGCCTTCGGGTGGAGCCGGTTTGTAAACTTACATGCTGGCATCCAACTGGATGTAGATCGTGCTTATAAAGAACCATTTCATTGGGACGCCTGGGCGGCTCAGTTGGTTAAGCAACTGCTTTCGGCTCAGGTCATCATCCTGGAGTCCTGAGATCGAGTCCCGCGTCGGGCTCCCTGCTCAGCAGGGAGTCTGCTTCTCCCTAGGACCCTCCCCCCTCTCATGCTCTATCTCATTCTCTCTCTCAAATAAATAAAGTCTTAAAAAATAAATACTTTAAAAAAAATAACCGTTTCATTTACCATTCATATTCATTGATTCCGTTAATATTTATTAAGTACCTATGTGCTAGTTATGAACCTAAGTATTAAGGTTGGCAAAGCAAGACACACTTCATATACATCTTGCCCTTCTATGCCACTGATTCTTAGAAGTCACTGGGGGCCTTCCAAACCATCCTACTTATTTTTTGCTCCTGATGAAATGTGCGTAATCAATAGACTTTAGTACTCCTGTTGAAGGATCCCCTTCAAAGAAAGGACACAAAGTATAAGGAACTCATAAGTCAAGAGACTTGATTATCAGAATGAGAAATATAAAATACAGGGAAATCTGGACAAACTTAGCATTAAATTGTCACTATGGGAACATTTTAACTTGTAAAATATATTTATATTCATACCCAAGATATTGTCCTTATCAGTTTCTTCACACACTTGTTTGATGCTGATGTCATAAGTGACATTTTGGTGAGTTACTGTTCCAAGTGCACTTGGTTTGGACAGGAAATTACATCCTTACTTCTGAACAAAATCATGAAGAGCCAAAAGGGTTTGTCCTTTGTTGCCCTAGGAGGAATTAGCTAATCCAGTGACCCAAAAAATGTGGAGTGGATGGTAGTAGAAAGTCAGAAGTAAAGAACTTCTTAGTTATTGTAAGGCCTGTATCTCTCAGATTGACATTCTTGTGACCCCCATGACAAACTTATGCTGATATGAAATAATAGTCTAGAAATTCATATACATATAAAAGAATTTTTGCTAATAGTAAGGGAAAGTATTCATCTTCTTTTCTCCAATGAAATATATCTTGCTATTTTCTTTTCTTCATATCTGTCCCCCAAAATGTTTAAGAATGCATTCATTAGTCTGGATAGGTAAGCAATCCCTATCCCTAAGCAAAAACTATGATGTTCATAATTAACATCATAATATTCCCCGTACCCTAAAGTTGGGAATCCAACTCCTTATACTCATGCAATTAAAAGTCAGTTTGAACTTTATAAATTCCTTGTGTTGGTGTTCCACCTTTGACAGTGTATTGCTTTGTGAGCAAATGCAGGAGTACTGTGCATTTTACTGACCTAGATATTTCAATCTCACATTCAGAGATTTAATTGTTATGTATGAAACAACAAAATGCTAAGAAGAGGAAAAGTAATTAGGCTGATATTGAACTTGATGGTTAACTGGGTTTTTTTCTTCACTATATGTATATGTAAATATGTATATGTATAGTTGTATATATACATACATGTATATATGTGTGTATATATTCTTTCTATAACCTTATCTTCCCTTAGGTTCTTTTCCTTAAATTACTAATATTAATACTAGTGTTTCTGATTAGTGCAAGGTGTTAACTACCCTGTTCCACACTGCAGAGTAGAACAAATGGAAAACATTCATTTCCCTTTCAGGGTGCCCCATCTGGCCAAATATTGAAGTGATTTCATAAGAAATGGAATCCTTGAGGAAGTGTTTTCCAGTATGTCTTTATTTAATACTATTATTCTAGGGGATGAAGGCAGAGAAATAATGAGAAGACTGGGGTAGAACACATACAATGACCACCTATGACTACTTCTGCTTTAGTTTTTGTCTACATTATGGCTGACATTTTTTGTTTTTGTTTGCTCAGTCAATGAACCCCGTTCCTTGGGGAGGAGGTGGAATCCATCATTGGATGAGTCTGAGTGGAAAGCAGGGCCCACCTTGTGTTATGGAAGCTTGAAGTGTCAAGTATCCCTTCTTCCCACCCTGTAAGGTGAGCACCTCACCTCAGCTTCATTATGCTGGCATTGCTGGTGGTATTTAGAGGCATATTGCTGAGTGAAACTCGTTTTTATTTTTCTTTTCATCTTCAGTGCCTAGCATAGTGCCTAGTCCATAGTAAGTACTCAAAAAATGCTATTGAACATTTGAACTCAACCCCAAAAAATGTTAATAAAGGAAAAAGGTTAAGACTCATGCTGTTAAGAAGGGAAGTATACCAAATCCAGATCCCATTAAGCCCCACCAGAGGAGCTAGAAAAGAAGCTAGGAATTAAGAGAGAGATTTCCCTGGCAATGCTGGAAACACATTTGTGTACAGTTTCTATTTGTGTGAACTTTCACCTCCTTAGGTTACCAGTCATGGTCAGTGGTCTGGTGTCTATCATTGGGCACGAAGGGCTCTGTGATGTGGCTTGTAATGGTTTAAGGAAGGAATGGAGGAATGGTTTAAGACATTCTAAATTCTCTTTCCCTTTCTCTTCCTAACCTTAAAAGTTACTGCCATGTAATTTCTACTTGTATGTTGAGGACAGAATCCATCCTGGTCCCAAACACAGATAGCAGACACTCATAGATTTTGTTCGTGTTTGACTGCACTATCCATCCAGCATTTCCTACCTTATTTTCTTGTTACCCAGCATTTTCAGGAGTTAGATGTCTTGACACTGTAACGCTGGTCACCTGCTGACTTGATTTCTCTACACCTGCCACCTTCAGAGTTGGTATTATGTGTATGATCAAGAGATCAGATTCTATTTTTTTTCCTTTTTTTCTTTATTTTTTTTTTAAAGATTTTATTTATTTATTTGAGAGAGAGAGAGAGAGAGAAACAGCATGAGAGGGGAGAAGGTCAGAGGGAGAAGCAGGCTCCCCGCTGAGCCGGGAGCCCGATGTGGGACTCGATCCCAGGACTCCGGGATCATGACCTGAGCCGAAGGCAGTTGCTTAACCAACTGAGCCACCCAGGCACCCAAGAGATTAGATTCTAAAGCCAAACCAGGTTCAATTTACCACAAAGATACAAATGTAGGGATCCGAAGGGGTACGTGCACCCCAATGTTTATAGCAGCAATGTCCACAATAGCCAAAATGTGGAAAGAGCCAAGATGTCCATTGACAGATGAATGGATAAAGAAGATGTGGTATATATACACAATGGAATATTATGCAGCCATCAAAAGGAATGAGATCTTGCCATTTGCAA